GCAATATTGATACCCTGTCTACCTATGTAGCCCACATATGGGATTACCCCCGGGAGTTTTCCCGACAAGCAGGAAATATTTCAAATTGCAAAAATTGTCCGCTTGTCAGGCGTGCAGTTTTAACAACGACAGTTCACGACTTTTCAACAACTTTATTAAAACTGTTTTGTCTTTAGATGGGAACGGAAATCGATCTTGCATTACTATGCAATATATGACAGTGGAAACGTGTCACGGAAAAAAGAAAAATTCCATAAACATGAGTTTGTATTTGCATGGATTACGCAGGAGGGTGTTACGTCTAAAAAGTTGTACTTTGATAAAAAAGTTATTTGCGGAATGATTAACATTGCTATCATTAGCGCAAACACGTATCGCAAACAGTCTTATATTCTTTTGTTTTCCATCTCATCCTGCAAATATTAAAGTTCAATTTACCATCAAGTACGGTAGAAAAGTTCAAAAAAGGAAATTATCTGCCGGAACGAAAAATTACAGTTATTAATGCCACGGATCACGAGAAGCGGAAGTGACGTATTATCAACAGGTGCGGTTGTTTTCGCTTTTGTTATCGATTACGCGAAACATGGGATAGTCATTTGCATTCATTTGCATTTGTCTTATCTTGAGAGTGAAGTTTGTCTGTAGGAAGTTATTAACGATTCTGACCTCACCGAAAAAAGGTAAAGTCCTTTTTGTTGCGTTTTAACAGGAAGAAAGATTGGTTTTTGCTCATATCTGGGCCACGAGTAAGCGTATTCTTTGAATTTTTACATTTCCCTTTGTGTTTGAAAGCGTGCTCTCTTTTGTCTCTCTCAAGGTTTCGTGTCTTTGCAATTTTTACTGGCTTTGTTTACGAAGAAGATATGGTGGAAAGTCAAAGGAGAAGGTGTATGGCTTGTTTAATATACTTTATCGTAGTTACTGGATTGCTGGTTTCGGCGAAGCCGTCTTTGGACACAAGTACAGACTCAAATACTAAACTAAACTGTGATTTTACAATGACTGATTCTTCAGGGGAAATTCTGAGTCCGAACTATCCCGCACAATATCCCGACAACAAAGAATGTACATGGAAGATACAGATGCCTCGGTCGCAAAAGATAGTTCTTGTTTTTGAAACTTTCAACTTAGATCGTTCACCTTCGAGTGATTTCGCCTGTGACAACGACTTTGTAGAGGTACATGATAACGAAGTAGGTCTTATTGGCAAATATTGCGCCGGGCATATCCCCCCGAGACAATTGACATCACGTAGCAATACGTTGAGTGTTGTTTTCAGGTCGGATAATCGGACAACGCTGGGATTCCACGGTAATTTTCGTGCAATTTATGCGTCTTGTGGCGGCTTTCTGACTGACACCACCGGTGACCTTTCAAGTCCCAGCTACCCAGCAAGTTTTCCGGCAGATATCCAATGTGTCTGGCAAATTCGTGTACCTCAGGACTATGTTATCGAGATTCGTTTTAATGACTTTAACATGGATGGAATGTATCCATGCAGTGTTGATTATGTCAAGCTGACGGATGGTTTTAACACCACTGCTACAGAATTAGGGCACTTCTGTGCTACCAGGCCTCCCAAAGAGACAGTCATTCGATCTACTGGTAACAAAATGTCCCTTGAATACAGATCCTACAAAGAGAGTAACTCAGCAGGTTTTAAGGCCCACTACACTCGTGTTCCTCACTGTAATGGGTTTTTGGAGAGTGACTATGGCAGATTTACCTCTCCGGGATACCCCGGCTCTCGCCAAATGGATAGAGAGTGTAACTGGCTTATAACAGTTACAGAGGGAAAGATAGTTTCATTGATGTTTGAATTTTTCAAGGTTGATTCCACCACCTCTATTTTATCATCTTCGAGAGACTGTGGAGATGACTACGTAGAAGTGTTTGATGGGACCAGCGAAAATGACCACTCTCTTGGAAAATTCTGTACTATTAACAACAAACCTGTGGGGATGTTGCACTCCAGTGGACGACAGATGCTTGTGAAGCTGCACACAAGCTTCGGAAATATGGGTGATGGATTCTTAGCTACTTACTATGGTATAGATCCAGATAACTACTTTGCAGATTGCGATGTGTTTGATCACCAGTTGTTTTTTACTTGCAATAGCGGTCAGAAAATCCAGTGCCAATGGAAATGTGATGGGACGAATGACTGTTTAGATGGATCCGATGAGAGAGATTGCGCATATACTCCTACTACTGCCAGCAAGAAGAGTAATGATGTGCGAAACTATGTCATAGTTATTCTTTCCATCACTGGTTCTGCTTTAGCCATTATTTGTATTGGCTTCATCATAGACCGACTGAGGAAGAAGAGAACATCACGTCCTAGGAGAAGGCGTAACCCAAGAAGATTGCGGCGTCCAAGACTCTCCGCAGCTGATGAAGCCCCCTTAACAGACGAGCCATCGTCACCACCACCACCTTATGAACTTGCCAGTGACAGTGCATGTTTTGATGTCACTTTTATTCAACCACGTCTTGGATTCTTGCCATCTCCTAGTGGAGATACAACCCATCCAGGACAAGACAGCAGAGAGAACCAGCCTCACAATCAAGTGTCTGCAGACGGCACCCAAGATAACTCCACAGGTAATGTCAGAGCAGACGAAATCACTAGCAACAGTTTTCAAGCTGATGCACAAGAAATGCGTACTACGGGGGCAGGAGAAGGAGACGGAGGAAGCATCACTGGTAGTACTATTGTTAGCACTCTCTCTCCATCAGAGTCCATCAGCTCAATAAATGACACTGCTCCACTCATTCGAAGAACTGACAGTGTGATCGAACTTTAACAATATTGCAGTGTGGGCCTTGCAAACCACCTGGGTAGCAACATTTAAAAAATCTTAAATTGTGGTTGAGTCACTGATAGTATATGTTGTGGTTCAATTTCACCAATTGGTACAATGTGTTAGTTCCAGAAAATATCCATACCTCCCACATGGAGGGGATTTTTTTTCTAAGGATCCCCTCCCCCCATCCCTCTGGAAATTCCAATTAAGCTTCATGGATTTCTATAAAATGTTTGTTCATACAGTACTCCCCTCCCCCTTACCCTTAGGAAATTCCAATCTCTTCTGTGGGGGATTAGTATGAATATTTTTTGGAACTGCACAATTTGGTATTTCCTTTCTTTCTTTAGTACAGTAATATATTATAATTAAACATACGAAAATTAATACGAAATTGTACCATAAGGCTAATATTGAACCACAACATATGTTATAAACTATTATAAGTCAGATAGGCACAAACTTGAACTGTACTTCTCTTAAATAAAGCTCCTACTGTTTTGGTAATAGAAACAAGAAAGAACATGTAGCAGCAAAATTGGTTGTTGAATGAAATGGCTCTGAATTTTGAAGTGGTTACTAAAGAATTATGGTTTTAAAAGATTCTTTGGTGAAGAAAAAATCTTTCAGGCTGCATTGTTATTATTATCAAGTGTCTTTGTTTGATTTGTTTTTTTTTCTGTCACAAAAAGTGAAAGCTGTTTCAGAGTGATATATAGACCATTGTTTTGAAACACACCAAGTCTTGACATATTGCAGTCATGTTCTGTTAATGTCAGGCTCCCAAAGAAGTACCATAAACAGTAAATAAATGTAGCTGGTTGACTCAATAGTTTCACATAAATGTTTGGTAGCGATGAAGCTGAATGTTTGACGTGTAAAAGTCAGCCATTAAAGCCAAATCACCATTTATCTTGATGCAGAAGTTCACTGTAAAGGCACAGTTTGTTGTCGAAACTGTTTCTCAATCACATCTTTTGTGGCTCACCAGTTACAACTTGCAGTATTGCGTATGATCCTTTAATTATAAGTATTTAATAGTTACATTTTTTTGCCTTTTAAAGGCAGCTTGTAAATTGTTGCATGCTTTGAGATACAGATTTACGTGTCCTGGACATAAGTGCTTAATTTCATATCTTTCACATAGGATTGCATTATAAATTATTTGTATTAACAAGTTTGTAGTTCTGTTTTTAAGTGTAGGTTTTGTACGGTGTGCTTGGGTAACTTTGATCTGTATGTCAAGTTGCTCTCAATGGAGTTTTGCCTTTTTCCAAGCTAAACTTGATGCGTTTCTTTCACCACAACTTGTGAACAGCTATGTCCTATTTTTTCTTCCTGATGTGCAAAAATAGGAGACATCTGTTCACATGCCACATCTTGGCCAAGATATATTGATTTATTACATTGATTATAATCCCATTGAAAAAGGCAATACCCTGCTTGAATGAACATATTTCTCAACTTGAAGGAGCTCAGTCATGGTATTTCAAGTTTTTGTCCAGATATGAAATTACCTTTAAATCAAAGGAAACATTAAAATTATAGTAGTTTACTAAAGATGGAAAAACACCAAAGAGATAAGAAACCATAAAGAAACAAGGATGGTTAAGAATGGAGACGATTAACAAGGATTACAAACAACCTTGAACAATTTGGCTAAACTTTCTAAGATGCACAAACTGTGATGTAGCTTCTTTAAATGAGGTATGGCAGATTAAAGAGTGCTTCTCTACTTTACACAACATGTTAATTTTGAGTATAGAAATATGCAGTAGCTGTAGGGGCTAACTGTAAGATTATATACATTATTATTAATAGTTATTTGGTATTTATATTTTGAGGTTTTTCATCGGTCTTTGGAAATAAGATATGATTTTGATATTTATTGTATTTAATGGAAGGCAAGGGAGGCAAGGAGTTTTGGAAATATTTAAACAATTTCATATCTACTTTGTTTAATTTAATTCTCATATTATAATTGATATTACACTATTTCTCTCTTTTCACCTTCATCTTGGCTGTCAAGGTAGAGAC